TCGCTACAATAAAAGAAAGACAATCATATCTGGACAGATATGTATCACACGTACAATAATGTACGCATGCATGCATACGCCAGGAATGTTTTTGGCCTTAATGACTGCTTGGTTCGTATTGTAAAGTTAAGAAAAGTTACGAGCGAATAAATAGATACATACATAGGCGTATTTGTGCTTTGCCTAATTTAATACGAGCCACAGCGTTGAACCATTTGCTGGTATTTGCACTGTCTAATTAAAACATATACCGAAGCTAAGCACACATCATTTTGAATAAATGCTTGATGAGTAATCCTCAAACAAAAAAAACGATCATAACACGTGAAGAATGTGCATATTTTCGAAGAAACGATACAAATATGGCCTAGTAAAACAAAGGTGCCGGAAAAAACTAGGGTGCCACATTTCTCTCATCAATCTTAAGCATTCTTGATTCGTATTCATTTTTTTGTTTAAATATGATGAAGATTATTACGAGTGTGCTCCATAATTCCAGAAGCGCAATTGCTGAGGGAAGCAAAGGTCAGAAATTCAATACACAGCTGGTGCAATTTAAACATTATATCCAAATATCATTGTCGTCATCACAATCAAACTAACAATGTTAAATAAGATTACACAAAAAACGAAATAAATAACTTTTGTATAAAATATATATTTGTTATCAATTTTCTGATGCCAAATGATCTCATCCAGCCTGCCGCTTGAAATCCGTTGATCTCAATGGGATCCAATTCCAGTTTAATTGCATCCAGTCAGAAAAGTATGACCGCTCAAGATGACCCACACCCCACTCTCGGGTGGGATTTTCAGGTCGTACAGCACTTTGTTTGGAGCGATGTCCGACGTTTCGTGCCACGTGACAAGTTTCTCCATGAAGCTTCCAGCATGTCGAACAAAACGCCGGACTACATGTCATACCCGCGGATACTATGACCCGACTAGCGCAGGCACGACCGCAAATACCTTCGCAGGAGCACATTCAGATGGCTTCTGTGGCCGTCTGGAACACTCTTCCCTCGGATATTAGGAAACCACTGGGGCTATGGACGTTTAAATCTAGAAGGAAAACTCATTTCTACAGAACAGCTTTTTGTGTTTAGTTTGTTGTCCTTCCCCCGCACCTCCGATTAGCGCGGTTGGCTACGTGCTGTGTGAAAGAAGTTCAACGTACATACGTACAGGAGCACCTCACCCACCGACCTTAAATCAACGACAACCAAATTGAATCCTATTGCACTCCAAAGCAGCTGCATCCCTACTTCTGGTTTCCTGACCGGTGGTTTGATGTTCAACATGAAATTTCATTTGTGGATGGGTGGGGTGTGGGGTGGGTAGGCCGATGTGGGGGGGGGGCAAAGGTGAAAGATATGCAGAATAAATGTATTACCAACAAGTTGAGGCATCGTGCAGAAAAAGATTTACGATGAAAAATTGTAGTAACCTTTGGGATAACACAAGAGAGGTTTTGTGTCAGGCCTCGGAATATCGAGGTTTTACCGTTCTCCGCGTAAAACTCCATCGACTGCGACGGTCAGAGATTGAGAATGCATTGTAAACAAAATTGTCCAATGCAATTTCCTACGCAATGATAAAGGCAGAAATCTAGAAAGGTCCTATAAATAACAGTGATGAACAGAGCAGCGTTGGTCCAACGTCAAATAATAAAGCCGAATGGAAAATTGAATAGAAACCACCGCAAGATTGAATGGTGAGATAGGAACCAATTAAAAAAGAGTTCTCCAGAATCAAGAATCAGCATTAACACTGAGCAGACTTTTGCGTTTAATCAAGGGAGAAAAAAAAACATGCTTTATTGCCGTGACAAAAAATCTCATTTAAGTTTCAGTTTGTTTCGCATGTTTGGCAGTTATGCATTAACGTTGAGATGTGAAGTCAACCAAATTACAAGACATTTATTAAACGTTATTTATTTAATTACCCACACAAGTTTCACCGAATCTCAAAAAACTAATTTTCAGCAGCAGTCCAGCACCGGGGTACGTTTGGCTCCACTCGGTTAGAACGAGTGCTGGAACGAGTGCTTCACATTTCGCAGGGAACCGGTGCAAAGCACACACCTATGAGCGAACAACAATCAGCGGACTGCAGAGATGGTTTCACGAAACCCACTTGACATACCCCAACCCCACCTGATTCATGGTCCGTACTGCCAGATCCGACCGTGTCCGTCCAATGCTCGCTGAGCTGCGTTGGCTTCCGGTTGCCGAACAAATTCGTTACGAGGTCGTGCTCATTACATGCAAAGCGCTCGCCACAAATGAACCCCAACACCTCGCTGACCTCGTCAAGGAGCATGAACCATCATCACGCGAACTCCGGGCATCCTCGCGGCTGCTTTTGGCTAACGGTCGGAAACTGCATCATGCGCTTCCAGATGCACTTCTGCGGCCATCTGGAACAATCTTCCTACCCATATCAGGAAGCCACTGGAGCTATGCAATCTTGATTGGAAGCTTTCGTGCCCGCAGGAATCCATACTCTTTGGTTTTTTCGGTAAAGTCACGTAGGTATAAAAATATATATATATTACGACATTTAGATTGCAACAGGCGTAAAAATAATCCAGCAGTGGAGCTATGCACTTTTACATTTATATTGAAAACTAATTTTTTGAGAACTGCTTTTTGTGTTTAGTTTGTTGTCCTTCCCCCACACCTCCGATTAGCACGGTTGGCTACGTACGGTGCAAAGAAGTTCAACACACACATATACATACCGCCCTCTCCCAGCTAAATGACCAACAATAAATGTCAATGGGGTCTTACCCTCGTTGTGTAAACGACACCATGAATCCGTGCATCGGTGTCCTCGTACGCTCACAATGGCAATGCTTTGAACTGATAATAATGATTATGTACACTCCTCACATGGAGATCACAAGGCTCTGTACAAAACAAGACGAAACAACGATCCGCCGTATAGCCTGAATAGACTTTTGAGGCAAGTGCTGTTAGTGAGCACCTATGAAGGCCGGCACGGCACACGAGGGGGTGGGTGGCCAACACCACGTCGGCCGCCTTTGTCTCCCGAGTTGGCGATGTTTACACACTCATTTTGAGGCTGAGTCAACCTAGGGGAGGCCCAGGACCAGTTCAAATGATCGTTACTGCTGTTGGCTGTGAGCGGCATTCGAACCCAGGTCGCTAGGTTCGTAGTGCAGTGTGCTAACCAGTGTGCTAACCACTACGCTACCGCTTCCCATACAAAACACACACACACAAGGCTCACGCCAGTAAAATCCAACCCCAAAACACCGTATTTGAATGAAAAATATCCAAAGCTTTCCACATTGGAATAGGATTTTCCTTCGAAAGACTCCACACAAAATGTATGATAATATGAACGAATTATCCACAGCAATGGGACTTACGCGAGTCTGAGCGACTCAATAAATGTCGCCATTATACAGCACTGTCAATCGCTGCCCATACACGAACGTCGAGTGCACGTTGGTGCATTTCTAATGAGTACTCAGCCACGAGATAGTGCTGAGTGCAAGTCTTATCGCCACACTCATAACGGAGCAGCGTCCGCTCATGGCTCGTGGCTCGTGGAAGGTGCGCTCTCGTGTTCGCAGTGTGTACCGACGATAAACACAGGCAGCACATGGCAAAACTTTGTATGGTGCAGTACTGATATCCCCGCATTGGAATCTGAATCTGTATTTGTGCATCGCACCATTAGTTGCTTTACTTCGAGGCGTGAGGGTTGCTCTTCAACTCACAGTTCATAGGGAGCTCGTGAGAAGCACTTGCCCCAACCGTGTACGTAGGCTGCATGGGGGATCTTTGGCTTCGCATGCATATATGTATGTTGTATGTATATATGTATGTTGTATGTATATATGTATGTTGTATGTATATAGTGAGGAGCGGTAGTGTAGCGGTTAGTGCGCTGCGCTTTGAACCTGGCGACCCGTGTTCGATTCCCGCTCTCGGCCAACACCAAGTGACGATTATCTGAACCGGTCCTGGACCTCCCATAGGTCGACTCAGCCTCAAATGAGTACCTGGTGCAGTGTGTAAACATCGCCATCAGGGAGACAAAGGCGGTCGGGCGTGGTGCTGGCCACCCACCCCCTCGTGTACCGTTTCGGCTTTCATAGGTGCTCGCTAACAGCACTTGCCCCAACAGTTTGTTAAGGCTATACGGGGGATCTTTGTCTTTGTATGTATGTGCCCATTGCTCTGTATGCTGACAGAGTGAAGTTCCCCTGTGATCAGAGCTCTTGATCTGCAGTTGCAAGAATCCGAGTTGAAACCCTGGTGAGGGGTTGACTCAGCCCTGCCTCCTCATGATCCATCCCTTTTGGATCAATAAAACGGCACCCTTTTTAAGGCTGTCCACGGCGGTGGCTGTCCCGTGGATAAACTGGCCCTAACCATAGGAATGTGGAATTTCCACCACTAGCTCAGGTCTGCCACGGCTAAACGGGGTATATTTTGTGTGCGTGTGTGAAAACTCACCTTTCGCAAACCTTGTCCCACACTCGGTATTGTATTAAGCATACAATGTCGCCACTATACACGAGTTAGTCTACGTGTTTGTTCACCATACAGCCCGGTGTTTCTACAATGTTACTACTTGTGATTCTAAATACATGTGGGCTACCACCCAGTTCAGTTGTGCCTCGTACAAAGTGATGGCGGTGGTGGCGCTGGTGGCGGTGTGCATGCGTGTGTGTGTTTATTTTTAACAGTCAACAAAAATGTCGCTACAATATTTACGCACGTGGCGAGAGCCAGAGCAGGACGCACGACGGGCAAACTCCGATCGCATCGTGACCCATTCGGCTCCGCATTCATGGCTGCAGAGGAGGTAGGAGGTAGGGCCGCTGGGGTTGCGGGGGTCGTGGGGGTCGCGGGGGTCGTGGGGGTCGTGCGGGTCGTGGGGGTCGCGGGGGTCATGGGGGTCGCGGGGGTCGTGGGGGCCGCCAGCCGCTGGAACCGACAGGGAAAGGGGGCAGTCCTTACCAGCGGTGGGGTCTGGTGGGCCGAAGTCGAGGGCGTAGCGGAGCACGTGGTAGTTGTTCCACACGTAGAGGAGGTTGTCGCGGGGGTTGTACTGCGCGGAGGCGATGAACTGGTAGGGGTTGGGGAAGGGCACGGCGAGGTGAGCGTCGCGGTGCAGGTTCGTGTTGTACATGTAGTCGATGCGGTTGCCGGCCGCCTCGTTTTCGTCGTCCTCGTAGACGGAGCGCAGCACGTAGAGGACGCCGCACGCCATGAACGCGTTGGAGGCCGAGCGCTTGTCGTAGGCCGTCTCCCACGAGCCCTCGATGCGCAGCGTGTACGGGTTTAGCTGGCTCACCACCACGCGCCCGTTGTTCTGCTCCGTCGCGTAGATGACCCACAGGCCGTTCTCGTCCACCGCCAGGTCCATGTCGGACTTGCCGCCCCAGCGGTAGGGCGACGTGTCGTGGTAGTTGGCGTTGGGGATGATGGCCTCGCCGCTCTTGATGCGCGTGCGCAGGTCGAACTTGACGACGTTGCGCGTGCGCTCCTTGTTGAAGAACACCGCGCCGTCGTACACCACGAAGCCCGTGCCGTCCACGCGGTGGGGCAGCTTGTAGGTGGTGGACGGGCGCCCGGCGATGAAGTCCTCGAGCGAGGCGAACTCGGTGAGGCCGTCGGTGCGGTAGGGCAACCAGGGCATGTAGTAGACCCGGTCGGTGGCCTGCAACGGATCTTTGCACCAGGCCCCCGCTTGCTGCTCCGCCTCGAAGAGGTGCAGAGCCTGCGAGACGGCTCTCAGCGAGCCGGGGCACAGGAAGACTGCGGGGGAGAGGAGGGGGGGGAACGGGGGTAGAATGGAGGGGAGGAGAAGGAAGGAGCAGGCACAAGTCCACAAGCAACACGTGACGCATTGAACAGTGGCGATAGAGTCCCTGCTCGACGTTGAAGACGAGCTTCATGGAAATTCATGGACAGAATTTCGCCAGGGCTTAATTTGGAATATTTTTCAGGGATACCAAAACCCCCTGGATTCCCTCCCCCTTCCTGTCCACCCACCATCTTCTCCTATCTAACCTCCCCTCTCCCCTAACCCTGCCACCCTGCCCCTCCTACCCCTCCCTCTAACCCTCGAATCCATCCCTTGACATAAATCTTAACCATGCAGGTCAGGGTGAGAAAAATATCTTCTGGAGCACAGCCCCTGGACAGCTCCAGGTGAAATGAAGCCACGGCTCCGAACGAGAATTGGCGATTGTTAAAATGAACGAAGCGACGAGTGGGCGGCACCATGGACATAGAGATGGTTTGGTAAAGTTCGCCGTGAGCAGAGTAGACGGATGCTTTGCTTGTTCTACTACAACGCATGTGACCGGGCGAGCACACACTTTATGGATGATCGTGCGGTTCGAGTGGGGGGGGGGGGAATTTAAAAGTAAATAACACAAGCCTTGTTTTAAATTCAAGTACATGAACACCTTACTATTGAGTGCACCTGATTGATTACCATACACAAGCAATATACAAACACTGGACTGGACAATATACATTTTTTTTCTTGCTGTGGTGTTCCCACCTGATGAGGATTGCTTGTGTTGTGATCGAAACGTCGTGATTTGTTTTGTTTTATTTTATATTATTTTATACCTACGTGACTTTACCGAAAGAACCAAAGAGTATGGATTCCTGCAGTTACGAAAGCTTGGATTTTTCTCCAGGTCCTCTGGTTTTTCACTCCACATTTAGAAACGTTTTGAGAGTATTTGGCTGCTATCAATTTCCACGTGGTAAGCCACTTCGTTCAGCTATCATCTGTGGCCAAGTCGCTTCTGATAAAGAGCTACGTAGCTCACTGGGCCCGACCTGGTAAATGAAAAACTGAGTCTCAGCTGTTTTTCAGGAGGATCCTGCCAATATTCTGCAATAGTGGGCGGTGTGACCTTGTGTAATCCCAATTGAGTCCATTGTCAGGTACATTGTTGGGATGCAATACCAGGTACACAACTGTGTGTGTATTTTGCCATGGAAGCAAACCAGAGAACCCAAAGGGAACCATGCAGAGGAGTGAGGGCACCTGCCGACTCCACACAGAAAGCTGGCCGCGATGGTAATCAAACCCAGGCCCTTCTTGTTGTGAGGCACAAGTGCTAACACTTTGCCCATCCCGCCAACTAAAGCATTTCAATGTCACGATATTGGCGCGAGGTATACGTGCGGTGTTGTATTTGTACGGGAAATTTGTAATTAGTACGGGACTCATTATTAGCTTGCGGTGATCTTTTAAGTGCCACCTTTTCAAGCATTACGACTGCCTCTCCTCTCTAATGCTCAACCTTATGTCCACAAAGTCACCGGTACAAACCGTGATGAGACGTAACTTAACACATGACCATCGATCACTACCCACTCACTGCCCTGGCCCATGCTGTAATTTATTCAAGCGTGCCTGGTTCCTCAAGATTGAGCGGCAATGCTAATGCACTCTAGCGCACTTTAGAAAAATACCAGAAATAAATAACGCACATGATAATGAGATAAGCTGATGAAAAAAATAAACCGCATCACGGAGCAGATTATAATTTTGGTTGGGTTAATAACGGATTCGATAGCTTGTTTAATATTTAAATAAGTACATCTCCATCCGGTGTGAGTATTGCATGAATATTGCAACCTATGAAATAATGTAAAATTACAATATTTATTTACAGTCCTTTGTCAATCCACCGATGATTAAATGTCTCCCCATGCCATTATGGTCACGGGGAGTTGTTTGGCCATACTTAACAATGGCGATAATAATATCGACTTGTAACAAGCCGCACCGTATTCGCTCGCTCTCCAAGAGAGAAGCGACTGAGAAGCGCGAGGAACCGTAGTAGAGCGGCAAGGCAAACAACGCAGCGACTGAGCCGGTGCGAAATTCCCCCCAAACTCTGCGATCCTCCACAGATGAAGGCATTGTCAGCCAATAGATGAGTGTTTAAAAATGGGACGAAACCCGAGGACCTGGCGAAAGCACACGGCACGCGAGAAGGCGACACTCTATCCAATACGGGGGAGGGGGGAACAGATGGAGTCTACACGTGCTCTACCGCCTCCTCCAGGCGAGCCCGGGTATGCCTCCTCTTCGACGCCCACGGGAAGGGGTTTTCACAACATTTGTGTGATTCACCAACCCTCGTCTCCACAGTGCCGGACTACAGGTCAAGGGGCATAGCCACCAGCGCCCACTCCTTCACTCTGCTGGGCCACTGCGTGATGGCGAAGGAGGAGGAGGAGGGGGTCACCCAGAACTGGTTTCAGATATCACTTTTAGATCAATATTAGCTGTGACCGAGAAGGGAACTCAGGTAGCTGAGTTCATAGCACAGGAGGCTAACTACTGTGCCACGGCTCCATCGCCTAAAGATAAAAAAATATACTTCACCACTTACGTTAACATCGTGAAGATAAATGTGCAGGATAACGCAATAATAACAAGCGGTGAGAGGAAACATATTGTGGCTTCCAGTTGAATAAAGCAAACATCGCTCTTTAAATGGAATTTAAGAAACCGCAGTGGCAGTCGCATCGAAGGAATGCTCACCACCGCCATCCTTAACACAGACGAAAAACATGCATTAGCATGAACATTCTGTAAGGCTTTAAAACATGTGCTTGTCCTCGCTGCTCTTTGTTTGTGGCACAGAATCTGATGGGTAGCTTGTCAAGGCAAAAGGAGTTTGCGTATGCATGCTCATTGTACTCTTAGCAATGGTTTGTGTCTGCAACTTTATTGAGGAAACCATTTGATCGATTTGGCCAGTTTCAATTAGGGTGCGACCCTAATAGAGACAAAACTTTACCGCAAAGTTTAATTCATATTGCATCTCAACAATAGCTAGCGTGACCTCACTCACCCACCCTTACAGACGTACGGACAAAGCTAATGCATAAATGCTTACAACAAGTTAGGACAGCGTTAAAAAGTGCCACTTTCATCGTTGACACGGGCTTTTGATCGAGCAGTGTGTGTGAATAGTGGAATCGGCTGATGTTTTGAACAATGACCCCGTCTTGACATGCTTTGCTTTGGACACAATGGCTTGCTCGCGCGCTGATACGACAACGTGTTCACACGCTGCAGCATGGCAAACCTTCCTGTCAGAAGGCCGTGTTAACAAAAAAGGATGGAAGCGTTTTTTTATCCGATCGTGAAAGGCATCTTCAGCTTGCGTTAGCACGCTGCTGCCAACGCCAGTTCGTAGCGCTCCGTGCGTGGAAACTACCTCGAGATGGTTTATTCTTTCCATTACTTTGCTTGCTCCGTGTACACATGTAAGCACTTTGTCTCGTGTTTTTTGCACAATTTATAAAATTGGACCAATGGCAAAAGCCAAGTGCTTAACTCTGGGTATGACACACGTATTATCATTATCATTACTCCGTCAATAATGCTGCTGTGCCGAATTTTGTTACGTATATGTCCACAGCCCTTGCATTTTTTATGTTGTGCTGATTGTTTGAACACTTCTCAAATTGACCAAATTAAAATGTAAAATTATTCTTAACAAACGATGTGCTTCATCATCATCGTCATCATCGTCAGCCATGAGCGTTAAACTTGCCGGATAAATGCATCCTCAAGCCTAAAAACGTCAAAGCATAGTCTGCAGCTCGCTCTGTGATGTTTAGAAAACAGTGAGGCTCATGGGTAGTTGGTGGGGGAAAGTCAAGTGGCATCAAATTCCGTGACCCTCAGGGGAATTGCTACTTTGTTAACATTGACTAAGCGACCAATGGGAATTTCTACTTTGTTAACATTGACTAAGTCACCGGTGGGAATTTCTACTTTGTTAACATTGACTAAGCGACCAGTGGGAATTTCTATTTTGTTAACATTGACTAAGCGACCAGTGGGAATTTCTACTTTGTTAACATTGACTAAGCGACCAGTGGGAATTTCTATTTTGTTAACATCGACTAAGTCACCGGTGGGAATTTCTACTTTGTTAACATTGACTAAGTGACCAGTGGGAGTTTCTACTCGGTTAACATTGGACAGCGGAATGGACGCAGAGAAACGTCATGATGCTGTGGACGGATGCTGAGAGGTCATGGCGCTGACCTGGCACCACTGAGATCCGTGGTTCAAATCCGAGGCGGCTGCCCATCATTGAACCGACTTCTCTAGCGCGGCGAGTTGATGGCCTCAGCCCAGTCGCCAACGACCGCAGGAAAATAATACAATTTGGTTCTGCGCTGCGTTTCAATAAAAAAGTTGGCCTGGCAGCACGGCCGGCGCACTTGAGTTGGCGGTCGACCCTCGGAGTGGACCGCGATCCTCAAAGGAATGGCGGTGCCCCCGTGGCCGCCCCCTCCGTGATACGTGGATCAAACAAATCGCACTTCCGATTACCACGGTAGGCTATGTACGGTGCGAAAGAAGTTCAACGTACATACACAGATACAAATCGCTCGAGGCACGGGCACGGCAGCGAGAACAGTTTGTGCGAATGCTTTCGCAAGAGGTCACACGTTTGGCGCATCGGTCCTGGCTGGCTATGCGTGATGAATTGAATTGGCAGCACGGCCAGGTACGTGTGCTCCCGGAAGGCTCTTGCAGATTTACGAATGAAAAACTCTCCAGCCAATCAGCACGAGCGAACCCGGCCACGTGATCACCCCATGTGACCACCCCACGTGATCAGCTGAGCATGCACGCACCCTCAGCCTTGTAGGGGCGCATTTCAAAATGTTCAGCGGTGAACGCACTGTACTGTGAATCCGGTAACAATGGACTCAATTCCTGGCCACAGCTAACATCGGTGGCGAGTTAAATC